AAGTTTCTCAACCCATATAAATTAAAATTTATGTATTTATAAAGCAATGATAATATAAAAATAGCATCCATTTTATGGTGGTATTGAGAGATAATGCATGGAAATAATGTAGCCCCTTGCCTGGCACATAGTCAGCTTATCAAAATCACCATTGATACACGCATTGCCAAATCCAGGAGTTGAATTTCCATCTCCCTCTTATGCAGTCTATCAGTAACGTTTAACATAGGTGATTATTCTCTCCTCTCTGAAATAATCTTTTCACTTTGCTTGTAGGATACCACATGCTCTTGAGTTCTTTTAACTCACATACTAGCTTTTCCCTCTCAATTTTCTCTGCTACATTAATTTGCGTAATTTCAAAAAAATTGGAGTATCCAAAGGGCTCATTTCTTGCCCCCTTTCTCTGATGTTCTAGATGTTCTCATATAGTCTTATAGTTTTAAATGCATATTCAGCTTAGGACTATAAAACTTTCAGGTCAGGCCAGGCCTCTCCTGAGCTCTATGGACTCACATTTCTACTTGCTTAGGCAACATCTGTGCTCAGATATCTAGTTAACAGTTTACATTTAACACATTGAAAACTTCATTTGCCTTCCTTCTGCCACATTTTTCCCTATCAGTAAATGTCAACTCAATTCTTCCACTTTCTCAAATTAAAGAATTTCAGACAACATATTCAATTCATTTAGGAAATCATCTCTATTCTACCTTCAGAAAGTTCTCCAGAATACAATCCCTTTCTACCATCTCCACTGCTACCACCCTAATTAAATTCATCAGTATCTCTCTTGTGGAGTACTACAATAACTTCCAAACTCGTCTCCCTACTTCCACCCTTATTCTCTGTTACCTGGATGAGAGGTCCTTGGTTCTTGACTAAGGCAAGGAAAGAATTCAAAACTACATCCAGGCAAAGTGAACCGTCAGTTTATTTGGCAATAGTACATTCAGGAGAGAATTCAAGTCCTCAGGGGTGCCTGCAGCACTGTGGGGTTTCATATTTTTATGGTGTTGAGCAATATACAGGTACCACCTTCGCCAGGGTCTTCCAATCAAGGTCTTGCCTCTGCTTTTCCATTGAGTGGGGGGCTTTTAGCCCTTATATGGGACTTGGAGCTGTCAAGGTCATCATCCCCCACAATGCAGGGGGGCGGGCAAAACCATATATATTAGTATCAGGTGTGGGTATCCACCTTGCTGACTTTAAAGTCATCCCCTCCCTCTGCCAGGCAGGTGGTTCCTGAGTGTTGTTTTATCTACCCCCTGAGGGTGTTTTCCTGGTGTCCTGTATATTGTTGTCCCACCTTCAATTATCTTAGGAACTGCTCTCTACCTTAACTAGCTAACACTCCTAGAGTCTCTTTTACCCAAACCAAGAGTGATCTTTTCAAAATGTAACATATCACTCTTCGGCTCAAAATTGCTCAGTAGCTTTTCATTTCAGAAGAGAAAAACCTTACCATGACTATATGGCCTGGTATTATCTTTCTGATCACTTTTCTTATTCTCACTGTACCTACCATCACATCTTGCCTACTCTGTTCCGGCCATATTGGCCATTTTGTGGTCTCTCTGGCACGCCAGATCAATTATACTGTCCATCTGCTCACCCTTTAAGGCATTTCCCTTAGATATCTACAGGGTTCATATCTTCACCACCGTCAGCCCTTTGCTAAAATATCACCTTTACAGAAGGCTTCTCTAGCCACTTTATTTAAAATTGCAAATTACTCAAGCACTCCATATCCCCCTCCCTGCTTTATTCTTCTGCATAACACACCATCTGATAATACCTTTTACTTGTTTTATAAATTTGTTTGTGTTACCTAATTTGAATGTTATATCTATGTTGGCAGAGGTGTTTTTTTTTAATATGTTTTGTTCACTGCTGTATTCCCAGTACCAACAACAATTTTGTTAAATGACTCACTAATTGTTTTTTCATTTTAATACTTTTATCAGGTGCTACACAATTTATGCCTGACCCCAAGCTCATGGATCACGGGCAGTCCCATCCAGAAGATGTAGATATGTACAGCACTAGAAGCTGAAATAGTCTGCATAAAGAACTACAAGATGTGTGAAGTTGCAAATAATAATTAAAAAATCATGTAATGGTAACTGTGACACATAGAGTATAACTTAAACCAAGTTTTTCCCTAATGTCTTCTAATGTATCGTTGACTAATCACATAAGTTACTAAAACACAAACTGAATTCAAGCAATATGAAATGATTTATGAGGAAGGCAGAAGTAGAAGTACGAAGATGCATCTGATGACTTTATAGGGTGTTTATTTAAAAGAGTAAATATTTGAATGCGGATTAAATTGAAATATGAAAAAATATGTATGTGTATATATATATACATGTTTATACACATATATATTTGCTTTAGCTTTACTGAATTAATGTCAGCTAAGTTAGAATCGTATGTGGGAGGATGTATCACCCCCCCTTTTTTTGTTCACAGCTCTGGAATAAAATATTCATATTTTATGGTACTTGGGCTTGACTTTGTTTTGTTAATGTTAACACCTCTTAATGTCCAAAAACATGTAACTATTTAAGAGGACCTTATGGTACATGAGACCACCCCGTACATACTCCCCAACCAATGCTATTAAGCAATCTTACTGGTTTACTTGTCTGTTCCCCAGGGGATGTATTACAGACCTTTTATTTTCAGACCTTTTATTCTCAAGCCTCCTATACCTGCCAAAGATAATTGTCTATTACAAGATATACCTCCTTTCAGTCATGCATCCCCTTTTTCTAAGACTAATGCTTCTATTTGTTACTGATCACATACCTTCCCTTTTCCATTACCATATTCCATCCTGTTTAATCTTCAATCTTTGGTTTCTATTTTCACTTATTTTTCTCAACTTCTAAATAGCTTCAGATCTTCTTTATTCAGAAGCAGGTGTAACAAAAACATTTCCTTAACCCTGCCTTTTCCTCTTGAGCTGTCTTTCTTTCTTCCTATGATTGCCATAATTCATTGAGTTCTCTTGTCCACTTCCTCCTTGAAACTAACTTCTCCATTTGCTTTCAGTGATTCCTGATTCTCTTGTTATTCTTAATTCTAAAATGCTGAGGCTCTTTGGGTTCTGTTTTCACTCTGTATGCTCTCACTTTCATTTAACATACTTCACTGTTGTCAGCCATTTATATTTCCAGTTCACATATTTCTTCATAGCTATGACTGTCTTTCTAATTATTACTTGGGGATATACCAGAGATATCTCCAATGTCAATATGCCTAAGGATAAATTTCTCTCTCCATATGTCTGTCTCAAATCTATTCTACCTTCTGTAATCTTTGCTCTCATCTTCATCACTTTTCTGGAGTATAATATTAGCCTTTTAAGTAAAAGTAGCTGAAATAAATAAGGGTCTATTTAAAGTCTGGAGTTAATCAGTGTAAGGTTGCTCATTGATGCCATCAAAGACCTAGACATTTTCTGTTTCCACTCTGTTCTTTAGCGAGTAGATTTGTCACCTCATGGTTAAAAATGGCATATATATATATATATATATATATATATATATATATATATATATATATGTAATAGTAGGAAGAAGAAGGGTTAGAGAAACCCATGTGGCTTCTGACCTTTTACCAGAAAAGTAAATGCTTCCTTAAAGCCACCTCAGAAGACATCTGTATCTTGACTAGAGCTTGTCATACAGCCACACTCAGTTCAGGGAATATTGAAAAGATTTTCTTCTTGACAAGAAGAGTATTTTTCCCTTTGTTGAGAAAGACAAGGGGTAAAGGATTTGGAATGAATGTTGAGTTTGAGTTCAGTGTTGAGTGTCAGCTTCCTATTCTAACTTGTCTGTCATTATTGCATAATTGTCTTTCTGCCAACTATTATGAATAATTGCCTTTCCAAAATCTTCAACGGCTCATCATTGCCTACAGTCAAATCAGGATACCTTAGCACAACATGCAAGGTCCTTCATATATGATCCCAGCTCATCTAAATTCTTGGTTACCTTCCCCCACCCATCCTACTGCCAATGTATCTAAAATATGCCACTTGCTTCTTGAATGTGATTTATTCTCTTAAGTCTTTTTTTCTTTCCCTATGCTGGTGCCTTTTGGAATTTTTTTCTGTCTCATCCTGTTCTACATTTCAACTTCCTACTCATCCTTCAAACCTAATTCCATTGTCACCTCTCAGTTCTCCAAGGTAGTATTTAGATGCTCTTTCATTTGTTCCCTTGGCATTTATATTTATGATAGCCCATATGATTTATTATAAAACTAAATCTTGTTTAATGTTTTTTCACAGTTCAGGCTCCTTGTGAATATAACTGAATCATTGTGTAATTTTTATGCCCATGAAATCAAATACCTAGTATATAGTAGGAATTCATGTTCTACCATGCTGGTTGAAACACAGGATACAAAAAGTATTACAGCATATCAAAGGGTTTATATTGTACTAGGAATTATAGAAACATAAAAATAGTGTTATATGTAGTATCTGCTGATACCAAATTGCTACAGAGGCTCAGAAATGAAATGTAGTTCTAGAGTGATAAAAAGGTGGCAGTGGTACTTCAGCTACTCAAGGTGGGGAAGCAGTTCAGTTACTATTGAACTCTTCAAAATTTAGTTTCAGTATTTGAAGTGATTTTTTTGTACCTTATCTGTTTATAATCAAACACACCCATCGTAGGGCATATTATTTATCTTTAAGATAAAAATGCTACAGTTGATCATTATATTTACCCCAATTTCAGCTATTATAAGATATGGCTATATAAACATCTTAAATTTAGTGTGATATGGTAGGTAAAATATAATTATCCTAAAGTCAAGTTTATGTGATTTTTTAAATTTTATCTCTTCTTTTGGATCATCAACTCTGTTACTAGCTATTTATATATACATATATATATATATGTATATATAAATTTGTATAATGTAGAATTGACTGCATCTGCAAAGTCTGTTTATAATTAAAAGATCTGCTCAAATCAGTATTTGATCACTTGCTGTATTGTACAACACTCAACCTGCTGTTACATGATACTCAGATGTTGGAGCATATGTTGGGACATGTTGTGATGAGTTATCACTCTGCCTCTGCCATGTCCATGAGTTCTTCTCTGTTAAACCTGAACAGATGCCAGCCCTCTTCAGAGGAAAGGTCTAAAGCCCCTTGACGAGTGTAGTACTCAACAGAAGCCTGGTTCCAAATGGCGACAAGAAAATGCATGCAGTTACACTGGCTTCTGATGGCTATCTGTTTTAAAACAAAGATTTGTTTTACTTGAATGTTTTGTATTCATTAACACACTTTATTGAAAATCTACTACACAAGTTACTAGCAGATAGTAATATAATAGTTCTCTCTTAGACTTCTTTAAAGCTATAAAAAATGCTACTGTTGAACTTTAAAACCCTCTATTTAAAAGTCTAAAACTGGTTTGCAAAGCTCAAACAGTCTTTTTGTAAATTCAATTCACTGGGTTTTGTTTTTTTTTTTTTTGTTTGTTTGTTTTTGTTTTAGAAAAAGTTTATCGAAAAGGTCACCTGATCTCATAATGTATTTCCAAAATACAAAAGGACCTTATTTTTGTACTATTCTCACATTCATACTGTGGACCTATTTTATGGATAAAATCGCCTTCTAGTCTTCCTCTTGCTTGCTTCTACTTTGTAGCAAAAAAGGTATAAAGTGTGATTGTGCATTATATAGAAATCAATTTTTAATTAAAATACTCAAATACAACATTAGTATCTGATTTAAAAAATCAGTTTCATTGAAATAAAATTCAGGTTATTTGGGGGTTATGTTCACATGGTCAGATTAATTTTCTGTTAAATAATCATTTTTGATGAGGAAAAAGATAACATACAAAATACCAGTGCTAATTGTAATACATACCTGACTTAGTCTCCTCAGCATTTCAGCCCCAATACCTAGACCTTTTGAACATACAATTCAAAATGAAAAACTGTTAAGTTGAAAAATTCCACTTAAGAAGTTACTTGCTGTGATTTAAAAGAAAATGCTACAGTTGATCATTATATTTACCCCAATTTCAGCTATTATAAGATGTGGATATATAAACATCTTAAATTTAGTTAATATATTCTTAATAGCTTATGTTAAAATTAACTGATGAATGTTTTTCTTATCCTTTTTCCTAATTAGAATGGGTTCCAAATGTTTTCGGTTTGTTTTAAAGACTGATAATTAGAAAATAGAGTCCCTGTCTCTATCATCAAGTCACCAGAATATTTTTCTTATCTATTTCTAGTCAAATGATCTCAAAATGTAATAGCATTTTGTAAAGACAAAAGTGTAGCTATGCTATAATATCTTAGCTTATTCAAGCCTTGATGGGAACTAAAGAAAAACATTTTTCCAATCTGTGATTGAGTCTTCACTATATACAAGCATAACTAGGATAGTGATCAGACTCATGAAATAGAAATGAGTTATAAAAATTAATTTAAATACTAAAGCCTTATCTCTACTCAAATTAAAATACAGCATTTTCATTTTTAAAGTATAGGTAATAAAATAAGTGTAGCTTGACCTCGGTAAGCTTGTTTGACATAAAAGTCCTCTAGGTAAAGTAACTTGCCAATCCAGGGGTCGTATGTGAAGTAGTACATGGCAAACCCAACGGTCACTTTGTCTAGGAAGAGGAAACCGAGGGTATAAAGAGGTTAATGCTTTGAATCTTAAAATGACATATTCAGTGTTATCCCTATCAAAATTTCAGTGACATTCTTTAAAAAAAAAATAGAAAAATATTGCTGATTTTCATATGGAACCACAAAAGACCCCAAATAGTCAAAGAAATGCTTACAAAAAAGAGGAAGGATGGTGATATCACATTCCCAGACTATTACTACAAAACCATAGTAATCAAAACATAAAATAAAGGTCACTGAATAAAATTTCTAAAAACACATAAGTAAAAATATAGAAGGGCAAAGTCTCTTATAATACAATCTTAAGAAATAATCTTTTCAATGTAAAGTACACCTTTTCAAATTTTTTTCTATGCATATATGACAGGTACATTTTCTTTTTTAAAAAAGTGTGTTTATGTACTTTTATTCATCTTTGCTCAGTAGTACTTACATGCTATCAAAGTATAACAAAGTATCTGTACTTTGTTTTCAGGGTAGAGAAAATATACTCCAGATTATGTTGGAAAATGATTTATTTTACCTGATGTTTTTTGTTGATTGTGTACTTCTGCAATGAGACAATAGAAAAGGGGATTGTCCCCAAAGCCATCCCTTAGTAAATCTGAAATATCAATTCACATAAAATGTTAGAAAATTTGCAATAGAGAGAAGATGGGGAAATAAGCAACACCAGAAATTTGTTTCTTCACATGTGCAATTAGTCTCAGAAACTTTCCAAAGTTAACATGTTTAAACTAGAGCTTATTTGAACACTTGCAACTTGCAGAGGATAGCTTAGCTGGTAAAATGCTGTTTATTTTGATCAATTCAGTAGCAGCTTTCTGACAGCCCATCCCCAAACCCTCACCACATGACAGATAACTGAGGGGACAGCAAACTAAATTTTTCAGAGTGGTTTTCTGGAGCTGGGATAGGCAATAAGGACTTTATCCTCCAAATATTGGAGTTCTGTTTTCTGATTGTGGGTTGCTACTCTGAACACTGAGGTGAGGTCTTGAAGTTTAGACACCATTTTTCCAGTCTCCACTAACTAAAGCTGCTTCCAGGAGAAACTTGTTTTTTGGACATTCAGAAACAACCATATATACAGGGAAATCTAGAAAGCTACCATGCATGACAAAGTACAGACATAGAAAAGACCTCAGAATACCTTATTCATTCAAATCTGTGATCTCTGATACAAAGATGCCCTATATCAATAAAGCAATCGCAACCCACATGGCACAGCAGACTTCTGGCTCACCTGCTGCTTCCCTCAACAGTGTACTTCGGTCAGTCTGCCTGTTCTGTTCCCCACTCTGTCTCTGGTGAATCCTCTTGCCAACCCCCCCCCATACCTCTGGCCTGTACTACAGCTCTTGTATGCATAAATAAATAATATTTTTTTAAAAAAGCAATCTCTAGCGAAGAGAGGGTTTCATTTCCAAAGTTAACACAGAAGTTTCAAATGTCGTTTTCAATAAGAACAACAACAAAATCACAAGGCATAAACAGAAATTTGAAAGTATGGCCCTCAGGAAATAAAAATAAAAGGACACATACCTTAGGAAGCCCAGATTTCATATTTACTAGACAAATAGTGAAGGGGGCTAGGGAGAAAGGGAAGGGCACCACTCAGTATAGGAATACATAGCATAGGCTGTACATATAAACTATATGACTAATCATGTTTTCTTTAAACTAAAACTCTTGCTTTGAACCGAGGATCCTTCCCCAATGTTGCCCAAATGAATGCCAGACATTGATGCCATCGGAAATTAACCAAGCAGGCCAGCATGTACCAAGACCAACTTAACCCAGAGGCTGATAACAAGTTCTGGGGGCTTACATGACGAATACCAAGAACATATACTATAACAAGCTGTTCTGATAAACTGATTCAACTCTGATGGCTATCCTGATTAACTGTTAATAGTTACCCTGATAACTATTTTTGTTAATTTAACTATAAAATAGTGAGAAATGAGGTGTGAGAATGCTTTCTTCAGGGTGACATGCCCACCATTCTCAGGTTGCTGGCCAGCTACCTAAATAAATACACTTCTTATAGATTGAACTCCTGTCTCTGCTTTTTGGCTTTCAGTAGTGACAGGTAATAGGATCCAGCATTATTGGCAATAGTATTTTTAAATGACTGTCTTAAAACTGTTCAAAGAGCTAAAAGAAAACATGCACAAAGACAGGAAAAAGATATATGATCAAGATGTAATATCAACAAAGAAATAGAAACTATGAGAAAGAATGCTCACCAAAAAAATTGGAAGCTGAAAATCATAACTGAAATGAAAACAGCATGGTAAGTGTTCAAAATCAGATTTGAGCAAGCAGAAGGAAAAAAAAAAACAATGAACTTGAAGATAGAACAATTGAAATCAAATCTGAGGAACAAAAAAATAAAAGAAGACAAAAAGTAAACAAGTATAAGGGATCTGTAGAGCACCATCAGGTGGACCAGCATATACATTATGGGACTCTCAGAAGGTAAAAAGAAAATGAGGGGAAAAGACTATTTGAAGATATTATGACTGAAATCACCAGAATTGACAGAATACATGATTCTGCAAATCCAAGCTCAACAAACTCCAATTATTATTAACCCAAAAGACCCCTCCCAAGACATATAATAACCATATTGTTGAAAGACAAAGAGGAAATATTAAAAGCAGCAAGAGAAAAAAGCAACTGGTCATATACAATGAATCTTCAATAGGATTATCATTCAGTTTCTCATCAGAAAGCTTGGAGGCCAGAAGGCAGTACATTGAAACAGTAAAAATGTTGGGATGGGAGAGGGTTTCTTTGGGGTGATAATCCTATCAACTGATGATTATATGTCCACCAAAACCATCCTTCAAAAATGGAGAAATTAGGATATCCAAGATTAAAAAAGAAAACACACACACTGCTCTGCAAGAAATGCTAAAAGGTTGAAATGAGATAGTAAATCAAAGTTATATGAAGAAATAAAGATAAAAGTGAAGTCTAGTTAAAGGTAAATACATGGGTGATTGAAGAACTAATGTTATTTTAATTTTCTTTGTTACTCCATTTTTTATGTTCTACATGCTTAAAATCACAAATATATAAAATTAGTAGTGTATATTGCTGGGTACACAATATATAAAGATGTCATCTCTGAGATCAGTAACATATAAGTGGGACAGATGTATAGAAGTTTTTGTATAGTATTGAAGTTAAACTGGTATAAATTCAAATTAGATTGTTAAAACTTAAGGATGTAAATGTAATCCCCTGATAATTACAAAGAGGATAATTTATAGAATAGGCACAAGGAAATGGAAAAGGGAATTAAAACATTTCACTACAAAAATCAAACAAAAAAGGAAGGTAGTAGTGGAGGAAATGAGGGACAAAATTAGCTATTTGGCACATGGAAAACAAATAGCAAAGTAGTAACAGTCCCTCACCAGTAATTAAATGTAAATGGATTAAATGCTGTAGTCAAAGGACAGATTAGCAGAATGGGCTAAAAAATATGATCTAATTATATGCTGATTATAAGACTTTATAATTAAAAACATACACATGTTGATATGAAATGATGGAAAAAATTTCATGCAAAGAGTATTCAAAAGGGTGTGGGGTGGCTGTACTAATATCAGACAATACAGACAAGTAAAAACTGTTTAAAGAGACAAGGAAGGAAATTATTAATGATAAGAGTCAATTTGCCATGAAGATAAAAACACTGATAGACATTTTTGCACCAAACAATAGAAATCCAAAATATACAAAGTAGATAATGTCAAAATTGTAAAGACACTTCTATAATGATAGTAAGAAACTTCAATACCTTAATTTCAATAATGTACTGAATAACAAACTAGAAGACAAATTACCAGATTACTTCAGCAACACTGTATAACAGCTGGACCTAACAAAAATATGCAGTACACTCCACCTAACAGAATATACATTTTTCTCAAGTGCATATGGGATTTGCTCCTGCATAAGCCAGATATTAGGCCACAAAAAAAGTTAATAAATTTTGAAAGATTGAAATCACACAAAGTATCTTTTCCAACCATAATATAATGAAGCTGGAAATCAACAGAAAGGAAATTGGGAAAATCACACATGGAAATTTGACAACACACTCCTTACCAGTGGGTAAGAAGAAATCGTGGTGGAAATGCAACGTACAAAACTTATGGGATACACTAAAAATAATGCTTGGAGGCAATTTTATAGCTATACATGCCTATACTAAGAAAAGAAAAATCTCAAGCAATAACCTAACCTTTCACCTTAATAAGCTAGAAAATGGAGCAGACTAAATCCACAGCTAAGAGAAGGAAGGTAACAATAAACAATAAAGTTTATCTCTAGTAGAGATAAGCCAAATAGAGCATAGAAATGCAATAGATTTGAAACCAAAGTTAGTTCTTTGGAAAGAGCAAAATTGACTACTAGACTAAGAAAAAAAGGAGAGTATATAAGTAATTAAAATCAGAAATGAGGAGCCTCCCTGGAGCAGGCAGTTGAGAGCAGTGCTGTGAAGCTGTCTGCAGTCTCTGCAGTGCAGCCAGGGAGATACCCACATGGTGCAGCAGACCACTCCTGTCTCGCCTGCTGCTCCCCTCAGCAGTGTATTTCAGTCAGTCTGTGTTCTGTCCCCCGCTCTGTCTCTGGTGAATTCTCTCACCCTCCCACACATCTGGCCTGTACCCTAGTTTCTGGATGCATGAATAAATAAATCTTAAAAACAAAAAAACATAAAATCAGAAATGAAACCATTGCTACTGGCCTTGCAGAGATGAAAAAAATTGTGAGGAATTACTGTGAATTGTAAACAAATTAGACAACTTAGAAAAGATGAAAAAATTTCTTGAAACTTACAAATTATCTAAATTGATTCAAGAAGAAATATAAAATCTGACGACCTATAGCAAGTAAAGAGTTTGAATAAGTAATCAAAAATTCCCAGCAAAGAAACACCAGGGACTACCAGATGATTTCACAGTGAGTTCTTTTTTTTTTTTTTATTTATATATATTTTACATCATTGTTCATTTTAAACAATGTTTGTTCCCCCCCTCAGGTGTAGTCTCCACAGAATTTCCTTCACCAATTTACCCATGCACCATCGCAGTGAGTTCTACCAAAAATTTAAGAATTAGCATTAATCCTCAAACATGTACAAAAAAAAATTGAGATGGGAATGCTTCCTAAACTCTTTTTATGAAGCCAGCATTACTCTGACACCCAAAACAGGTAAATATAGCATAAGAAATAAAAATTATAGATGAATATCCTTTGGTTATATATATGCGAAATTCCTCAACAAAATAACAAATTGAACCCAAGTGCACACTTAAAGGATAATTCAGAATGACAAAATGTGAATTATCCTAGGATCAAAATGATTCAATATACTATATGTTAACAGAACAAAGGAAGATAACACATGATCATGAATCAATGCAAAATTTCACACACACACACAATGAAATACCATGTCATGATAAAGGCCCTCAGAATACTAGGAATAAAGGGAAATTCTTCAGCATTATAAAAAGGTACTTTAAAAAAGTTAACTTCACAGTCACTGTGAGTGCAAGCATCCCCCCTAAAGTGAAAAATACAAACATGCCCAGTTTCACCTCTGCCATTCAACATTAAGCTATAGGGAAGATATTTGACACACACACATAAAAAAAAAAAAAAAAAAAAAAAAAAGTCAAAGCCATCCAGATTAGAAAGAAACAGGTAAAATGATCTCTATTTGCAAGTGACATGATCTTACTGAAATAATACAAAAGAAAACTGCCAGAGCTAATAATTCTGGCAAAGTTGAAAGCTACAAATATGAACAAACAAATCAGTTTTGATCATATACACTACCAAAGAACAACCACAAAAAGTAAATTAGGAAAGCAATTCTATTTGCAATAAACCCTAAAATAATAAAATACCTGGGGCTAAATCTAACCAATACAGCAAAATACGTGCTTACTGTAAACTACAATACATTGTTGAAAGTGCTAAATAAATTAAAAGATATTCTGCATTCATAGATGAGAAGAAGATGACATCTAACATTGCCAATACTATCCAAAGCCAATGTAAAGATTCAATGCAGTCCCTATCAAAATTCCAACATCCCTTCTCACAGAAATGATAAAGTTGACCCTCAAATTCCTATAGATTCCAAATATAATTTTATAAGCCTTAATAATCTCTTCTGTTAGTGTTATTTGCTGCCTAAAAATTCCAATACAACATGACACACTACTATATTAATACTACTAGCTATCAACATATAATAAAAATCTTCAAATAATTCTATCATTTTTGCTTTTTTCATCTATTTCATTGGGTATCAAATTATGCTTTTTTTGACTAATTACACATCTCATTCTACATTCAAAATTTAGTTGAAATCTATTGCAGCTTCAAAGACATAAAAGCTCATAGCATATTTTAAAAATGTGGAAATATAAAGTGGTGGAGCACTGATATCACTGTCAAATTTATGTACTGTACATATAGATACAATTAATATAACCCTTCTTGTATACCAAGAATAACAGCTTCCACACATCTAGGCACGTATATTACTATATACATACATTTTGCAATTTTTCTTTTTCTAGATCTGAAACTACCATAGAATATCTTACCTGTTGTTGTTAACTTAACTGCATCTAGCATATTTTCACAGGCAGCCAATTCCTGTTAAAGTAGAGAAAACTTTCAGTTTATGGTTTAATAACAAATTCTTAAGATGGTAATCATGAAGTTTTTATGGAGCATTTGCTAGCATATGATGTCCAAGACAGTATTAAAAAGTGAGTCAAAAACTAATCGCAGTCATCTAGAAACTTTAAAACAGCTCATGAAACAAAGGTATATATACAGAGATTGTCAATACTTCACTCATAGGAAGGTCAATTTTTCAAGTAATTAGCCTTGAATAAAGCAGGAAACAAATAAGTAAATCTAAAAGAGTTTCTGAGCATTTTAGGTATGTATCACAAAGTGTATGTAAAATTGAGAACTCCAGAAGCAGAGGGGGCACAATGGATTATGGTAGAGCACTATGGACCTTTGACTCATGTACAGTGTTGTAAACCAATGTTAGCACATCAAAAAGTATGTATTAGAAAGCTCATGGGCTTTACAGAGAACTCTGTAGTGTTTGCTTCTGAGGCATTTTTCTCAGTTAAACTTTAGACCTTATTTACCTTTTCACAATATCAATTTTAACACATTCTGATTAATTCATCGTGGTTTGGAACTTATGCTTGGAAAGGAATTCCCCACTTTCATATAAAAATAAAAATAGTTGCTCAAAATCAAATTTTAATTTTTTTCCAGTTTTATTGAGCTACAATTGGCATATAACATTGTATTAGTTCAAGGTGTACAATATAATGATATATTGTGTGTGTGAAATTATTGCCACAATAAATTTAATATTGATCATTTCACAGAGCCCCATTTTTTTCTTGTGATATATTATAAGTTCTATCCTCTTAGCTACTCTCATATATATATAGTATAGCATTATTAATTATAGTTGCCATGTAGTATATTTTATTCCCAGAACGTATTTATTTTGCAACTGGATGTTTTAACCTTTTGACCATCGTTACCCATTCTACCCGCCTGCCCCTACCTCCCATATCTGTTAACCACTAATTGATTTTAAGCTCTTTTTTTTATTTTATATATTTTGCATCATTTTTCATTTATGCACAATGTGTGCATTTTCATCTTGGTTATATTCTGCATACAATTCCCACGCCCCTTATTTTGACCCTAATCCCTTGTACCCCCCACCCCCGGCCATACTGTATCTCTTTTTACTTTATTATAATTAGTATTTTTCCTGGACCCTTATTTAGGTTTTCTAAATTCCTGCTATGAGTGAGACCATCCGGTATTTTTCTTTTTCTGTCTGGCTTATTTCACTGAGCATGATCCCTTCCAGATCCATCCATATTGCTGCAAATTGCATGAGATTATCTTTTTTGACTGCTGAGTAATATTCCATTGTGTATATGTACCACATCTTCTTGATCCAGTCATCTATTTTTGGACATTTGGGTTGTTTCCATAGCTTAGCTACTGTAAATAGTGCTGCTATAGACATAGGGGTGCAGGTGCCATTTTGAATTAATGATTCTGTGTCCTCTGGGTAAATACCTAGGTGTGGAATTGCTGGATCATATGTAAGCTCAATCTTTAGCAGATTGAGGAATCTCCACATAGCTTTCCATAGTGGTTGGACCAGTTTGCACTCCCACCATCAGTGCAGGAGAGTTCCTTTTTCTCCACATCCTCACCAACATTTGTTGTTGCTAGTTATTTTAGTATGTGCCATTCTCACTGGTGTAAGATGGTATCTCATTACAAGTGATGCTGAACATTTTTTCATATGCCTGTTGGCCATTTGCATTTCCTCTTTGGAGGAGTTCCTTTCTAGATCTTTTGCCCATTTTTTGACTGGATTATTTACTTTGTTTTTGTGGAGTCTCTTCAGCTCTTTGTAGATTTTTGTGATTAGTCCTATATCATTAGTGTTGTGTGCAAAAATTTTCTCCCAGCCATTGGGTTATCTCTTTGCTTTGGTTACTGTCTCTTTTGCTGTACAGAAACTCTTTAATTTGATGTAGTCCCAGCTGTTTATCTTTGCCTTTGCTATCACTGCTTTGGGTGATGAGTCTTTAAAGATATTACTGAGGTATATGTCACATAGTGTTGTGCCTATATTTATTTCCTTCTACATATTTTATGGTTTCAGGTCTATGTCTAGTTCTTTAATCCATTTTGAGTTGGTTTTTGTGCATGGCGTGAGGTAGTAGTCAAGCTTCATTCTTTTGCATGTAGTGACCCAGTTCTCCCAGCACCATTTATTGAACAAACTTTCTTTGCTCCATTGCATATTCTTTGCTCCTTTGTCAAAGATTAGTTGACTGTAAATCTGTGTGTTTATTTCTGGATTTTCTATTTGGTTCCATTGATCTGTGTGTCTGTTCTTGTTCCAATGCCATGCAGTTTTGATGATTATGGCTTTGTAGTATAGTTTGAAGTCTGGGAGTGTGATGCCTCCATTCTCTTCTTTTTTTTTCAGGAGAGCTTTGGCTATTCGGGGTTTTTGGTGGCTCCATAGGAATTTCATCAATAATTGTTCTATTTCTTTGAAGAATGACATTGAAATTTTTATGGGAATAGCATTGAATCTGTAAATTGCTTTTGGTAGGATGGCCATTTTGATAATGTTAATTCTTCCAATCCATGAGCAGGGGATGTCTTTCCATTTCTTTGTGTCTTCTTCTATTTCTTTTAACAATGTTTTGTAGTTTTCTTGGTTTAGGCCCTTTATCTCTTTTGTTAGGTTTATTCCCAATTATTTGATTTATTTGTTTCAATAATACAAGGTATGGTTTTCTTGATTTCTTCCTTTTCAGATTTATTGTTTGTGTATAGGAAGGCTACTGATATTTGTGTGTTGATTTTGTCTCCTCCTTGTTTATAAGCTGATTAGTTCAATTAGTTTTTCTGTGGAGTTTTTGGGGTTCTGTATGTATATTATCATATCTTCTGCAAATAGTGATAGTTTGAATTCTTCCTTCCCTCTTTGGATTCCTTGTATGTCTTTCTCTTGTCTTATTGCTCTGGCTAGGACTTCCCGTATTGTATTGAAAAGCAGTGGCTGAGAGTGGGCATCCTTGTCTTGTTCCAGATCTTAATGGAAATGCTTTTCACTTTTCACCACTGAGAATGATATTGGCTATGGGTTTGTCATATATGGCCTTTATGATGTTGAGGTATGTTCCTTGTATCCCAAGAATTTCAAGGGCCTTTATCATAAATGGGTGTTGTAGTTTGTTGAAAGCTTTCTCAGCATCTATTAATATTATCATATGGTTTTTATATTTCCTTTTGTTGATGTGTTGGATTACATCAATTGATTTTCATATGTTGAACCATCTTTTTGTCTGGAATAAATCCTACTTGGTTGTGGTGAATTATCTTATGGATACATTATTGGATTCTTATAGCTAAAATTTTATTGATGATTTTTGCAACAGTGTTTATTAGAGAGATTGGCCTGTAGTTTTCTTTTTTGTGTGTTGTCCTTGTTTGGTTTTGTTGTGTAATGTTGGCTTCATAGAATGTGTTTGGTATTATCCCCTCCTTCTCAATTTTTCGAAAGAGTTTATGAAGGATAAGCACTAATTCGTTTCTAAATGCTTGGTAGAATTCACTTGTAAATCCATCTGGTCCTGGGCTTTTGTTTTTGGGGAGGGTTTGATTACCATTTAAATTTTAGTGCTTGTAATTGGGCTATTTAGGTGTTCTATTTCCTCTTTATCTAGCTTTGTGCGATTGTAAAGTTGTGAGAATTTGTCTACCTCCTTCAGATTTTGAGCTTGTTTGCATATAACTGTTCATAGTAGTTTCTTATTATTCTTTTGATTTCAGCTGTGTCTGTTGTGATTTCTCCTCTTTCATTTGTGATCCTATTTATTTGTTCTTTCTCCCGTTTTTCCATTGTGAGCCGGGCTAGGGGTCTTTCTATTTTATTTATTAAATTTTGTTTAATAGGGCCTCCACTGGTGGCGCAGCGGTTGAGCACTGGGCTGCGGGGATGCCCGCAGCCTCTGCGGTGCTGGTTCAATCCCTGGCCACCAGCGAGGATCCCGCATGGCGTGCAGAACTCTCCTACCGTGCCCGCTACTCCCCTAAGGCAGTGTACCTCAGTTCTTCTGCCTGTTCTGCTCCCTGCTCTGGCTCTGGTGAATTCTCTCACCCTTCCGTGCTTCTGACTGTGCCCTGTGCTTGTATGAATAAATAAATCTTTAAAAAAATAAATGAATTTTGTTTAATAAACAACTTTTGGTTTCATTGATCTTTTGGATTTTTTTTTTTTAGTTTATATTTCATTTATTTCTGCTTTGATTTTTATTATTTCCTTTCTTCTACTGGTTTTAGGGGTTTTTGTTCTTCTTTTTCTAGTTCTTTGAGCTTTGAGATTAGGTTGTTTCTTTTAGTTCTTTCTTGTTTCTTAATGTGAGCCTGTATTGCTATATACTTTCCTCTTATTACTGCTTTAGCTGCATCCCATTCATTTAGGAAATTGGTGTCCTCCTGGACATTCAACTCAAAGTATTTTTTTTTTAATTTCTTCTTTGATCTCATTAGTCCAGTGGTCTCCCAATAGTGTGAGTTTCAATCTCCATGAGGTCGGAGAGTTCCTTGCCTTCTTTTTATGGTTTATTTCTAGTTTGATGCCTTCCTGGTCAGAGAAGATGATTGGTGTGATTTCAATCTTGGTGTATCTGTTGTCTTGTGTCCCAGTATGTGATTGATCCTGGACAATGATCCATGTGCACTTGAGAAAAATGTGTAGTCAGACTCTTTTGGGTTTAGTGCTCTATAGATGTCAGTTAAGCCCATGAGGTCTAGATCCTTATTTAGAGCTTTAGTGTCCTTATTTTTTGTCTCGTTGATCTATCCATTGTTGATAGTGGTGTGTTGAAGTCTCCTACTACATATGTGTTTTCTCTGAAGTCTGTTTTCAGAGATGATAATAGTTGTCTGGTATATTTTGGTCCTCCTTCATTTGGTGAGTGTATGTTAATGAGTATTATGTCTTCTTGAAGTATTATCCCCTTGATCAGAATGTAGTGACCGTTGGGGTCTCTTTTTACATTTTTGAATTT